GTGTGTGTGTGTGTGTGTGTGTGTGTGTGTGTGTGTGTGTGTGTGTGCGTGTGTGTGTGTTTATTATATAGGGACCTGACCCTTTGGGGTTTGCAGAGACCTCCACGATATATGAAGTTAAAGCACAGACTGTGTGTTTACTATTTCATTTTATCTGAGTGTTGTTTTTTAATTCCATACCACACTTATTCTGTTCTGCTAAGAACATGATTATATAATTAATATATGTAAACAAATTCCAAGATTACACACAATTCCTGAAAGCTATCAGTCCTGCAGTCTGAGGATGTGATGAATTGTATTCTGATCTGTTGATATTAGCATGCAGCATTGGATGTATTGTTATAGAGATTATAGCCCAAAGCTCAGAGATGCTGCGATTGTGATCTTTTAAAGTCTGACCTGCCGATTATTTTTTTTGCCAATTCCGATCTTCTCTCTAAGACCTAGAATTGACATCAAGGCTCTAGACTTTTTATTTTTTTTACCACCGTCCCAAAATATAGTTTCAACCATCCTGAAGTCAGAGTCAATTCTAGATGTTATCCTTTTCCTTAATTAGTGTAATATATACTGGTTATTTGCATAAAAACACACAAGTCAAATTATTATGAAATAAATGATTGTATCTTTATTCTAATACTTGCTTGGATTTTAAAAATGGGGTATTGTACGCTGCTTAGAGCTAGTTTTAGGAAGTTAAACGGGTCATATTTCATCTCTAATATCTATTTTCCATTGCTCTCAAACATCATCATCAAACAACATGATTTATTCAAGTCGCTGGACAAAAACTAGATTTTATAAAATTTCACACAAACAAATAATTATGTCTGAGTCTGTTATGTAGATTTATATTACGCCTCACCTCCCTCTCTGCTTCTCCTCAGCTCCTCCTGAATTCCTGCAGTGGCCGCAGTCTGTGTCTAAACCAGCAGGGGGCAGTGCTGTGTTCACTTGTGTGGCCCAGGGTGTTCCCGAGCCTCACCTCATCTGGCTGAAGAACGGCAAGGTCCTGATGCCCGGACTCAACGTCAAGCTGACCAACAACAATAGGTGGGTGATGGCACTGCTGACCTATGATGTAACTATGGGACGTTTCCATTTCATTTAGCAGAAACTGAGGACAGGAATGACTTCAGTCCCTCCACTCTTAGCTCTGCACAGTATGGGTAGCCACACAGAATGATTTATTAAATACGTAATTAAACATTAAGACAAATACCGTGCATGCACATTGATCATAAAGTTAAATATCACGGCAACCCAAAGGCAGAGCCAGCAGTAGCACTACAACACTGGCGGGAAAGAAGGCATAATTATGATATAAATATAAGTTATCACTTATATTCAAATATATAAAAGAGAGAGGGAGGCACAGGCCATAGCGGTGGTTTTAGAAGCAGGCAGCAGATATGACAGAAGCATAGAAGAGGCTTATCTGAGTTCCTCTGCAATAGTCGCAGTAGTATTGTCAGATGCAGGCCTTAGTTTTCTATAAAAAGTCCAATCTATGCAGGTCCCATTAACACACAGAAGTCTTTTAACCGTTGTACATACAGAGAGTGGGCTGACTGAGCCGGGTAGACCACGGCTCCTCAGACGTTTTGGGACCAGGGAGATTTTCCAAGGACCCCCTTATCACATATTAAGCATATGCATATGCTTGCTGCATTTTGTACTCTTAGATGGCGTCATAAGTCTTTGTATTCTATAACTTTTCAACCATAATACTTTAGACCTGTTTCATAATGATAAACAGAAACATAGTTCCATATGAATGATAAGATGAGATAATCTCACAGCGGGGATATTTGTAATGTTACTGAATGCTAATACCACTTATATGGCAGTGGTAGTAGTATTAGTAGCAGTAGAGCAGGTGAAGTTGCAGCAGTAGTATTAAGTGTAGTTGTACTAACTAACTCCATGTTTTTCCATACACTCCCTGTACTGATGTGACTATCAGTGCATTGATGCAGCTGTGTGTTGTTATCTGTGCAGCACTCTGGCTCTGACCCGTATCAGTTCAGAGGATGAGGCCATCTACCAGTGCATCGCCGAGAACAGCGCCGGCACCAACCAAGCCAGCGCCCGTCTAGCCGTGGCCCAGGCTAAAGATCTGCCCGCCGCCCCCCAGGGCCTCACGGCCAGCGCGCTGTCCACCAACGCTCTGCAGATCACATGGAGCCAGCCGCCGGCCACCGTCACTGACAGCATCATCGGATATGTCCTGCACATCCGCAAGATCGGAGGTAAGTGTCTGACACACACACACACACACACAGCAAGACTCTACTAGAAAGATACCATCTGTACTTCAAATGCAAACATGTTTAGTTGTAATAATAACTAAATATATATGCCTGTGTGTGTGTGTGTGTGTGTGTGTGTGTGTGTGTGTGTTTGTGTGTGTGTGTGTGTGTGTGTGTGTGTGTGTGTGTGTGTGTGTGTG